CCCTCTTGAAGCTTTAGCAGAGTAAAGTAATCAAAAGTGATTTTTCAAGGTGAGTCTGCATGTTAATTTTATTGTTTGACAAAAAATAATAATAAAAAGCACCATGAGAATGCTCTCGGGGGGCAAAGGATTTCACATTTAAAAAATAAAACAAACAAAAACAACAAACAAACCCTGCTTAACAGACAGAAAAACAGCCACAATGCTTCACCTCTAATTGGACTTTCTCTTTGTTCCCTTTCCTTTGATCAGCATTGCTTCTCTATGCTTCTTTCTAGCTAGTTCAGCCGATAGCATAACTTTGAGTCTGGCCTGTCTTTTGGCTACAGTTGTCTTCCTCTTCAGTTCCACATTGGCCCTCTTTGCTTTTAAATCAAAAACAGCTGGAGGGGACCATGTTGCAGAAATGTGGACCAGTTGCAACCATCATTTTAATGAAGCATTCTTCTATGAAAGGTGCCATAAAATTTTGCTGGTTTTTTAAGGTGCCACAAACTTAGGTGCCACACATGTTAAAGTGGGAAGCTCAGGCAGTGCAATATGCCTTATCTTTTATGATGATGTGTTGGGGCTGCAACTATTATTTGACCTTTAAAGTCACAGAAGAGGAAGTAATATCAACATTAAGTCTTGTTGGCCAAATCTTCGCTACAGGTATCCCACACAGCTACACAAAGAGCAGTGAAATCCAACTTCCTAAAGAGAAACCGCCTTCCCTCTGCCTTAAGAAATCTGTCACTTGAGCAAAGCAGCATTTCTTTCAGTTGCTTAGTAATCCGTGTAGATTGTCACCGGCCGCCTCCCTCAGGACAATGGAGGGTTGGCTAACAATAGCTGAACGAAGCTCTTTTCCTCCCGAGCCTTTGTATCTGCGCTCTGTAACTCCTGGGAAACTGTAAGTTTTTCTTCTTCCACTCAGCCGAGCATTTTCGTTGCTGCGCTGCCTCCAAAGATGCTTCCTTCGGGGCCAGGGGGTGGAGGAAATCACCTGAAGCTGGCTGCGTGCATGGGAAGAGAAGAGGGAAAGTGGGGCAATATTGGCAGGAACGGGAAGCGAGCCTTGGCGCCTCTGTTGCTTTCGGCGACGAAGGGGGAAGAGTGGCTTCTCCGCCTGTTGTAGTTGGTCCTTACGAACAGAAAGACGCGTTGTCCTTTGCCAGCGTCCCCGCACCCGGCACGCAACACACACACACACAAAGCACGCAACCCCATTCGCACTCCAGTGAGTCACAAGCTGGTCAGGAGGACCGCACGGGAAGGGAGGGGCGCAAAGCCTTCGGAGGCGCCGCAAAGAGCGGGAGAGAAGCTCGCTCGAGCCCTGTTACAGCCAGCACGTAGAGGCTCCCTCGCAGGCGGCGCCGGAGGCGTCTCGGCGCCTTTCCTCCAGGTGGTTCAAGCTGCAAGAAAGGAAAAGGGGAAGCGTGTAGCTCCCGCAGTCCGGGCCGTTTTGTGGGACAGTGAGTGAAGAAGCCAGATGCAAAAGGAGCCGGCCGCTGAACAGCTGTGCCCTCGCCTTCAGCAGGGAAGGTATGTAATCCTAATGATCCCCGCGGGATGCATGCATGGTGAGGAAAGGGATCCAGGCACAAAACCGCCGCTGCAATGCACCAGCCATTAGCTCTGGAGCTTTGGACGGCCCAACCCTGTGCTGTGTTCTGCTAGAAGTATCTCTTGCGTAGACGTGAGGAGTTGGACCATAGTCCTGAGCTCGTCTCCATCACCTGGCTAGTTTTTATAGTACTGATCGGATCGATCGGAGGTGCGGAAAAGTCTGACGTAACAGAAAAGGATCGGGAGTTTATGGCAAAAATGAAAAAAAGTAGAAATCACTGTTCGGAAAAGAAATTCCGATTTTAGTCGGAAGAATATCATGCCAGTTATGAGGAGACTGGACAGCCATTTATCTGAAATGTTATAGGGCTTCCTGTCTGAGCAGAGGGTTGGACTAGAAGACCTCCAAGATCCCTACCAACTCTGTTATTCTGTTTCATTGTTCCCAAATTCCCCAAGCAAAGATATGCACTAAGTTAGATGGCTGTGGGTTACACAAGTCCTAATTGTAGGTGAGAAAATGGGCAAATCTGAAAATTGCTTTCACTGGAGAAATACTTGGGGAAGTTTTATGAAGTTCATTGACTCTGCAAAAACTTCCGTGCCTTTCAGCAAAGTAATCCCTATTCTGGATCAACTGATCTATCGCTCCGTCTATCATTCATTGATCTAGTAGTCTGAGCCATTGGCTGAAATGAAGAAGACAAAGAGGAGAAAATTCCCTGGGAAAGTCATTTCTCAGTCTTTGCAAAGCGGGAATGTTTGATCTCCGAATCAAGGCATAAATCAGAGGATTGAAAATTACACTGCTCAAAAAAATAAAGGGAACACTGAAACAACACAATGTAACTTCAAGTCAATCACACTTCTGTGAAATCAAACTTTCCACTTGGGTAGCAACACTGATTGACAATCAATTTCACATGCTGTTGTGCAAATGGAATAGACAACAGGTAGAAAGCATAGGCAATTAGCAAGACATCCCCAATAAAGGAGTGGTTCTGCAGGTGGTGACCACAGACCACTTCTCAGTTCCTATGCTTTCTGGCTGATGGTTTGGTCACTTTTGAATGCTGGCGGTGCTGTCACTCTAGTGGTAGCATGAGACAGAGTCGATAACCCACACAAACGACTCAGGTAATGCAGCTCATCCAGGATGGCACATCAATGCAAGCTGTGGCAAGAAGGTTTGCTGTATCTGTCAGCGTAGTGTCCAGAGCATGGAGGTGCTACCAGGAGACAGGTCAGTACATCAGGAGATGTGAAGGAGGCCGTAGGAGGGCAACAACCCAGCATCAGGACCGCTACCTCCACCTTTGTGCAAGGAGGTACAGGAGGAGCACTGCCAGAGCCCACCAATGCCACGTTGCGCCACAGACTGTCCAGGAGTTGGGGGATGCTTTAGTCCAGGTGTTGGAGAAGATCCCTCAGGAAACCATCCACTACCTCATCAGGAGCATGCCCAGGCGTTGTAGGGAGGTCATACAGGCGCGTGGAGGCCACACACACTACTGAGCCTCATTTTGACTTGTTTTAAGGACATTACATCAAAGTTGGATCAGCCTGTAGTGTTTTTTAACACTTTAATTTTGAGTGTAACTCCAAATCCAGACCTCCATGGGTTGCTAAATTTGATTTCCATTGATCATTTTTGTGTGATTTTGTTGTCAGCACATTCAACTATGTAATGAACAAAGTATTCAATAAGAATATTTCATTCTTTCAGATCTAGGATGTCTTATTTTGTGTTCCCTTTATTTTTTTGAGCAATGTATTTTGTAACCCAAAGTACCGTGATTACATGCTCAACATGGCAATTCCCTTTGGATTTTAAGAGTCTGCTTTATTTTAATACAATTTGCTTATTTTGAAGTACAGGTTATTTATGAGGGGTGGGAAATGTTCTGTGGGGTGGGAAACGTTGAAAATAAACTTGATTTTCGGATCCGAGGTTTCCCTGAGAAGTTATCCCAAGGCATATCTCAAAATGAAAGGTAGAACTCAATTTAGTAGGAATACATAACTTTTGAAGCAGAGCTCGGATTTAAAAATTTAGCTCAATTTCATGTTCTGCGGGGTGGAAAATGTTAAAAATAAATTGATTTTCGGATCAGTGTTCCCTGAGGAGGTATCCCAAGGCATATCTCAAAATGGAAGATAGAACTCAATTTAGCAGGAATACATAACTTTTGAATCAGAGCTCGGATTTCAAAATTAAGTTCATTTTCATGTTCTTCGGGGTGGGATATGTTGAAAATCCACTTGATTTTCGGATCCGAGCTTTCCCTGAGGAGTTTTTAAAAATGGTCATGTGGCAATGTATTTGTTTTTCATTAACCTTGTACAATTCCGAGTAAAAGAATTACACACACACAAAAAAGGAGGGTCTCTAGCAGTTCCTGCCACTGTGATATGTTTATTCCTATTTCTTGAAGGACCTTTAAAAATTGGTTCTTGTAAATTCAAAGTTGGAGGAGTACCTAGCAGAACAAGATAACCAGAGAAAGCTATGCTGGCTGACAGCAACTTGAACCTGCTATTCTACTCTCCATGTTGTGGAAGAACCGAAAAATAATCGAGGCCAAAGAAGGGGGGAGGGGGGGACAGAAAGAGAGAGCCCTCTACACACCCGCTTCACTTCCTAAAGAGAGAATAGAAATCTAATATCTTTTCCCTTTCTTACTTGATTTGGAGGTTCAACCGCTGTTTCATTTCCCTCATAAAAACCAGAAAGCTTCCTTCTTTGTTTCTCTGTAAGGAATAAATAATTTCCAAATGCATAATTAACAAAATAGGAGGACGTATTCTAGAGAAGAGAAAACAGAGCAAAGATAAGACAGATTGGTAATCGGAGGATCTTCCATTACCTCCTGAGGTGTCCTGACTTTGATCTTCCCAAGGGATCCTCCTGAAAAATAGCTCCTGAGAGGGATTTGATGGGTTGTTCTTTCCCTCAGGATCTCTGATCTCCACAGTGCAGCACTTCAAATAGGAGGAAGGAAGGAAGAAGCAGAATTAATGTAGGTCACACAACACAAAGTAGATTCTTCTATTCGGAACACAACCTCAAAGCCCCCAATATCCATCCGTGTGGCTGAGTAAGAAAACAGTGGAACAATATCCTACAAGAACTGGAGAATTGGCTCATATTATGAACGTGGGAGAAGTTTGGGAAGGAGGGGTGAAGCATTCAAACACTCTCTCTATTTATTCCCTTCCGAGCTCCCTAAAGTCTCCCACCTGCTGCTGGAGCTGCTCCTTCTGCTCCTCTGCCTGGCTCAGGAGGAAGCCTTCCGCCAGGGCCACCGCCTGGGAGCTGCTCTCTGCTCCACACTCCCGCACCCAGCCTTCCATCTCTGGGGGCAGGAGAGCCAAGAGCCGCTCCAGAACCACCAGGTCCAGCATCTGGGCTTTGCTGTGCTTTCCTGGCCTCAGCCATCGCCTGCACAAGTCATGGAGTCGGCTGCAAAGTCCTCGGGGACCCTCAGTCTCCTGGTATCGGATGAAGTTCCAGGGCGGAACTTCTGAAGGGAGGATGGTTCCCTCCTGCAGGACCTTCTGCTCGGTTCTGGTCCAGCTCTCCCCATAGCTCCCAGGCTGAAGAGCCACAGGGCCTTTTCTGCTTCCCTCTTTGGCCAAAGGGGGGGTCTCCATCCTTCCTCTCATCAGCAGAGCAGCTCCAAAGAGTCCAGGGACTCTGGGGGGGTGGGGTGTCTCCAGGGGCTTCTTCCTTTACAGGACCGTTTCTGGACAGATCCCTGCTGGTCCTTCCTTTTTTGCTTCCCCCGCAGAGGAAATCCTGGCTTGCAAAGGCTGCCGAGGGCTGCGAGGTTCCGGATCTGGAAAGGAGAGAAAAACCGACGCCCAGGATCAGAAAGGGGTATTCAGCCCCTGGACCCCCTTCTCCCAACCTGCTCGCAGCCCCAAGAGGCTCCTCCCAGCGCAGGCCCAAAGCATGGCCGGGAAGGAGGCAGATGCAGAGGCCGTTCCTTCCGTTTCTCTCCCCCTCCAGAGGCAAGGATCGGGCCCTCGGAGAGCCAGGTGTGAGTTCTGCCTCCTCCTCCACCTCCTCGCCCGGCTTTTCTCCTCTGCTGCCGGGCCTCCGCCAGGCCGATTCTTCCCCCTCCTTTGCATGCGGCTGGGGAGCATAGGACCCAGGAAGACCGCCCCCCCCTAACCCGGAGCACGTCTGGCTGTCCCCCCGCCAGACTCTCCTGCAGCCCTTCCGCCTCCTGCGGCGCCTCAGGGGTTGAGGAGAGCAATCGCGGCGCCCTAGAGAGGCAAGGCTCAGTGATGTCACTTCCTTTGCCGCCGCCCC